CCCTATCGCTTCTTTCGAGAAATATTTACAGCATCTAAACCCTAAAAAAGCGTTCTTACTTCAACGACCCAAGAAAGAGGTTAGCTCAGATGCCATAGTCTGGTACGACAACATGGTAGTTGGCGAGCGCTTGTTGGGCGACAGGATGAAGCGAATATCAAACGAGGCAAACCTGTCACGTATTTATACAAACCATTCCATCCGAGCTACAGTCGTCACTTTTCTCGGTAAATCAGGGTTTAAAGCTAGTCACATAATGACTGTCAGCGGGCACAGAAATGAAAGTTCAACCAGGGCTTACAGCAAAACCGATCAAACCACCAAGAGGAGAATGTCAGAAACGTTAACTGCTGCCGGAGCTGGCAACTCTGCTCCCAATGAATACTCTGTGAGGTTAGAAAACCTTACAGCTGAAAATATCAATTTGTCTCCTCTTTTAACTCTCTCACAGGAAGAGAATGTTATGCGAGATTTACACTTTCAGACAACTCACTCCCAAGTTTCCACAAATTTTGCTTTTCAGTTACAATTGCAATGTTTTTTTTTTTCAGTTAAGACTTGTTTATTGCTATTTTCTTTCTCAACCACCTTTTATTCAATTTTTCACATATTGTCTAATGCTTAGACTTTTCGTCAATCGAATTATGTGCCGCTGATTTGTAAATTTTTACATGTTTAGAAATAAATTATCAGTTCCACGATCCACTGACTGTCGTGATCATTTTTTTTCGTTCAATGTAAAATAAAACAATTATCGGTAAGGGTTATCCGCCTCAGCCTTCGGCTTCGGCAGACAACCCCTACCTCGACCTTGATTATTCGGGATATCACAAAAACCTCATCCAATAATTGTTTACAACTGACTTTCTTGTGTTACGTACGTAGAACATTTTGAGAGGCACTTCAAAGAAAATCAGTAGTGTGTATTAGTCGATAAAAAGAAAACTCTAAAAGTAAAAATTATAATACAGTAAACAACAACTAAAGTGTTGTTGTTTGCTTTTGTGGGTGAGGGGTGGGGAGGGAGGGCTGTTTCTATGATACAGGGATGAATTTATGGAGATGGAATGAACTCTTTTCAGAATGAAAGTCATTCCAGTATCATGGAAATAGCCCCTTTCTTGCTGTTGCTGCGGATGATGATGTTATTTTGTTTGTTTCTTTTACGAACGAAGCCATGGCAGGCCATGTCTCAAGATATTTGCCACGTGATTATCGACGACTCACGTGGATGAATGTCGCCGGAGCCTGCCATTGTGGACCTTAAGGACGGTGCCCACTATTGTAACTGCGCACATTTTCTGCGCATGTCAAGGTAGTCGCGCACGACGCGAAAGAAATGCGCAACAAGCAGGACACGCGGACTGGTTGTCTGGGAGGTTCTAGTTATTTCTTGTGGAAAAAATGCGTCGTTTTTCAACAGATGAAAAGTAATTTCTATTTACCTTGTCAGTTCTTTGAAAACCGAAGAAGTATGCGCATGTTGCTATTTATGCCGTATGATCGATATTACCGAACATTTTATAGTAAAACAAAAGTCAATTCTAAAACATTAAAAGTTGTTGCTTCAAGATGTTACGCTTGGAGCATGGGTATTTAAAA